AATGCTCACTGAACAAAATTATTTTACAGGCTGTTGCTGACATTATTCGAACAACATTGGGTCCTCGATCCATGTTGAAAATGCTCCTTGATGCTTCTGGAGGTAATCCTTTTTTCACTTCTATTTATATTTCCAGTGCAGATGTTTTGGAATCAACAAAAACATTTTATTACCCTTCGAATGCGATTTTGTTGAGCTGGTATAAATATTGTTGTATGGTTTTGGTTTCTACCAGGTATTGTCGTTACTAATGATGGAAATGCCATCCTACGTGAGTTAGATATTGCACACCCAGCAGCAAAGGCATGATATTCCACCATGCATCTCTATTTGATTTGCTTTTAGCATGTGAATGCTTCCCCACCCCCAGAAAAAAATTGTCTTATTTTCTTTCATTCGTATCTTTTTTGTTGTTTATCGTGGCAGTCAATGATTGAATTGAGCCGAACGCAAGATGAAGAAGTTGGAGATGGAACGACATCTGTCATTGTTCTTGGTATATATTTTTTTACGCAGCAGAATGCTGTTTATGTGCTTTGATACTTTTGCATACATTAGTTTATTGTTCAATTATATTCTCATCTATAAGATCTTTTCTTGTGATCAATGGATTTTTATTGCTTAGCTTATTTGGTGTTCAATTGCCTTCGGTTGGATGTTTAATCGACATGTCGAGATTTAATTACCTTTAGTACTTACATTTGGTGTACTCTTTGGTGCAGCTGGTGAGTTGCTTCATGTCGCAGAAGCCTTTATCGAAAAAAATTATCATCCTACGGTTATCTGTCGAGGTAATGCAACTTAGAACTGATGCTAGATTCTTAGCATCTGCTTTTGAATCATTACTTAGCATTTGATGATGAACCATTTCATTTGCAGCATACAATAAGGCTTTGGAGGATGCTATTGCTGTGCTTGACAATATTGCAATGACTATTGATGTGAAACACCGTATGTTTCTCCTGGGCAGCTTTTATAATCATAAAACAATTTTTTTAATCTTTTATCCCCATGTATTTGCATCGTTATCATCTATGGATCATCATATTTTTTCTTTTATATTTGAATGGCAGGTTCAACGGTGTTGGGACTTGTGAAGAGCTGCATAGGAACAAAGTTCACCAGTCAATTTGGGGATCTGATTGCCGTTAGTGTTCTTTTAATCAAAACTTTTTTTATGGGAAATTTTATTATAGATTCATTAGCATATGCCAATGAGCTAGATTAGTAGATACCTTTATTGTTTTTCCTTTTTGCAACTGGCATATGTTAGAATAGTCATCTAACCATTTGAGTATTTGATTGTTTAGCAGTTTGCTCAAATTTGAATATGAACAGATCTGGTTCCTCATCTTTACTTCCAAATAATTAATATTGCGTCAATCAGCAAGCATTAGGGGGAAAAGACATTTGAAATATGTGTGTTACAGAAGGAATTAGGGAACATTTGAAATCATAAATCAAGCAACTATAGTAATTTGCTTTGGGTATTTGAATATCTGAGATGGTTCTCTATGTATTGGCCTATATTTTACTAAAATATTCAGACTCGTGCATTTGGATGAAAAGTGTACAGAAATGGTATACTCAGACATTTTTTTGTCCAGTTTGTGTATCGTGTTTTTCACATGACCCTGCAATCTCCTATTTTTGTCTCAGTTCACTTTCTTCATTTTGGTGTTTGGTCTGGCTCGCATGAAAGACCGAGTTTGTATAATCACTGCCCATGTTAGACATGTTTAACACACCAGAATTTATGTCTTATTGACATGGGAATGGTGCCAATATCTTGTTTTTTCTAGCTGAAAATACAAAGTTTGTTCCTATATTTTGATTGAACCAACAAAAAAAAGTATCTTTAGGCATTTAATTAAGCCATTCTTGGTGTGTCTTACCATTAGTACAGACACTTCTAGTGAATTTTCAACAGAAGATGAACCGGAACCTTTACTTCAGATGTCTTTGTTTTTACATTTATCTTTCATTTTCCATGCTTTTTAAATTTGTGTGCCTGCTATTAGATTGCAACTTTGATGCAATGCATTTAGCGATTGAAACTGTCTGATGGTGAGCCTAATCTACTTAGCGCCGTATTTGTGAAAAGACACTCTACTGATACAACAGGGGCAAGACTGTGCTAGCTTATGCAATAATGTTCCGTAACTCTTTGTGTCTCTTACTTTTTCTTTGTAGCTCAGATTTTCTCTTTTGTAGTTGTATAAATTCTGTGCAAAGAACTTTTATTCCTTCTAAGATCATCTGTTTTTATTTTAAATGAAAAGCTAGAAATGAGTTCTTGTGTTCCATATAATTTTAATTAATTTATATTGCTACTTAATTTTAACTTCCAGGATTTGGCAATTGATGCAACTCAAACAGTTGGAGTTGACGTTGGCCAAGGGCTGAGAGAAGTTGATATTAAGAAGTACATTAAAGTAGAGAAGGTACCGGGCAGCCAGTTGGAAGATTCTAAGGTCCTCAAGGGAGTGATGATCAATAAAGATGTAGTTGCTCCCGGCAAAATGAAACGAAAGATCTTAAATCCACGTATTATTCTTCTTGATTGTCCCCTTGAGTATAAGAAAGGGGAGAACCAAACAAATGCAGAGCTGGTTAAGGAAGAAGATTGGGAAGTCCTTTTGAAAATGGAAGAAGAATACATCGAGAACCTTTGCCTGCAGATTCTGAAATTCAAACCAGACTTGGTGATTACAGAAAAAGGACTTAGTGATTTGGCATGCCATTATCTTAGTAAGGCTGGTGTCAGTGCAATTAGGAGGGTGAGAAAGACGGACAACAACAGAATTGCAAAGTCGTCTGGAGCTGTTATTGTGAATCGTCCTGATGAATTGCAGGAGTCCGATGTCGGTACTGGAGCTGGGCTATTTGAAGTTAAAAAAATGGGTGATGAGTTCTTTGCTTTCATTATTGATTGCAAAGATCCTAAAGCTTGTACGGTTCTCTTAAGGGGTGCTAGCAAGGATCTCCTGAACGAGGTGGAGAGAAATCTGCAGGTAAGTAAAATATGCTGCTTCTATCTATTATGGAATAAAGTTCTGAAGCTTGTTTCAATTACAGGATGCCATGTCCGTTTCAAGAAACATAATCAAGAATCCGAAGCTTGTTCCAGGTGGTGGTGCTACAGAATTAACTGTTTCTGCCGCCTTGAAACAGAAGAGTTCATCTGTTGAAGGCATAGAAAAGGTGTTTGATGCTTCATGCGTAACTTAATTCAATCTAGGAATTATTTGATCCTGAATGCTAAGTGCTAACCTTTCTCAACATTCAAATACATATCGGCAGCTTTAGAAATATAGTTTTTATAATTTCATTGTTTTTTTAGCTGCCAGAAGATTTAGTGTTGAAGGCATGGAAAAGTTGCTTGATGCTTGCTTAACTGACTTTGATATGCTAACATTTCTTGACATTTGAATGTATACTTACCAATGCTTTTAGATATTTAGTTTTTGGTAATATGCTGATATTTGAGTTGCTAGTGTGCTTATTTTCATTGGTTGCGTACCAGTGGCCGTATGAAGCAGCTGCTCTTGCTTTTGAAGCCATACCACGTACTTTGGCGCAGAATTGTGGAGTTAATGTGATACGAACCATGACTGCTCTGCAAGGAAAGGTATGGATGTTTCTAGAGTTCAGTGCAGTTATACGCTTTTGACAATACCCTGAACTTTACGGTTTTCTTTTTCTGAAATTGTGATTGTAGCATGCAAATGGTGAAAATGCATGGATTGGCATAGATGGGAACACTGGTGCCATTACTGACATGAAAGACCAAAAGGTATGATGAAATTTGCACTTTTTCTATTAGTACAGTGTTAGTCCTCAAATTTTCACCATAATTTCACTTTTCTACCTGAATTTTTCACCCTAAACTTTGATTGTGTGTAACAATTATGATCCACTTTTCAAGATGTTAATAAGGTGGATGAAATTGTCCACTTCAGATACATGAAAGACATCTAAGACCCTTTTATAGTGAAAATGGTGGTTTTTCTTTTATTAAAAATGAATTGTTAAGCAAAATCACACCCGTGTCTAAGACCTTTGGACATAAGTGTGAAGATATGGTTATGGTCTTGTAAATTAAAGTAGGCTTGATGGATGCCTCCATTGTATCCCTCGAACTTTGTAGATTGTTGTTGTCTTGTTGAATGAATTTTTAAAAACATGTGTCAGATTTGGGATGCATACAACGTGAAGGCGCAAACTTTCAAGACGGCCATAGAAGCTGCATGCATGCTTCTACGAATCGACGACATTGTAAGCGGGATTAAGAAGAAACAGGCTCCTGGAGCGGGCCAAGCTTCGAAACCCAAGGTCGAGACTGAAGCAGATGCAGACGGTGAACAAATTCTTCCCGATTGAAGGTGACTAACCACTTAAACTAGCCCTCTGCATATTCAAAGTGTTTGATGAAATGATGGGTTTGTTTTGTTTTGTTTTGTTTTAGATGTTTTAAGGGATTTTGTTGAGCATCTTTTGCCTGTGTTTTTGGAATTTTCTATCTGTGATGATGTTTGTAGATTGTTGTGGGATTAAAACAAAAAGTAACTTTTTGATGGAGGCAGATTGAAATTTTTTTGTTATAATAAAATAGATATTGAATTTTTTTTGCTCTTATTTATGGTCTATTCCATCTCATTTATGAAATAATTGAGATTCAATGTAACATTATTCACTTTTTACATAAATCTCTTAGTTTCTTTGTAACGTTTTCGAATTCCACAGTAACTCCTTTCACTTTGGATTACTTTTAAATATTTGGCAATATTTATGTTAATGTATTGATTAATTTCTAAAGGTATCACACTTATGTTGCATTTAAAGAGATTAGTGATATATTTGGATATTATGAATTAACTTTGTTTGAAAAGTCAAGTGAAAGGTAGGACGAGTATAATTTTAATCTTATGAATCACATAATGAGATGATTTTGAACTTCATATCAATAATAAATTAGTGATCTCTCTGACACCTTCAAACCGGAGCATGGCATTTATCAAGGCCATCCCCTCTCGTCTTATCTATTTGTTCTAACAATGGAACGCATGAGCTACAGCATTGTTGATTCTGTTAATAAGAACATCTAAGCTTTTTGCTTTGTTAAGGGTGGCATCCCTCCCCACCATTTGTTCTTCGCCGACGACCTGAGTTTGTATGTTAGAGCGGACATCCCCAATGCGGATGTCATCAACTCAATCCTTGCAGTCTCCTATGGACTCCTATCATTCTCCATGTGGTTCTTGGTTTTATCCTGGCTGTTTGCTCCTTTCCTTTTGAATCCGTTGGGATTCGAATGGCAGAAGACAGTAGAAGATTGGGAATATTGGTCAAAGTGGATTAGCTGCAGGGGTGGCATCGGAGTTTCCTAGGTTAAGAGTTGGGAATCATGGTGGGAGGAAGAACAGGAGCACCTGCGACACACCGGGCTCATGGGACGTCTTGTGGAGATCATTCTTTTGCTTCGCTTCTTCATCTACCAGTAAGGAATTGTGTATCATCTAAACATGACCACCACCAGCAGGCAAGGTATTCGGTAGAGCCTAGCGGTGAGAATTGCTCTCTAAACTTAATGATCTCACCTGTCTTCTTAAGCAAGAAACCCTTTTTCAAATGTGCCTGGTTTCAGGTTTATGGTCTTTCCTGGCTGGTCATTGTAGCCGTGTTGGTTATTCTAAAGGTGAGACTAAAAACTCGAAAAAACCCAGAATCCCCCCCTCAGTAATAGTCCTCTAACGAACCGGTGCACACTCGCAGATCATGTCGATGAGTCGAATGAAGTTCAGCGCGGATTTCCAACTGATGTTCAGACTCCTTAAGCTACTAATGTTCATCGGGTGAGTAGTGGTCATCACAATGCTGTTTTATTTCCTCGATCTAACCGTGTCAGACATCTTCCAGAGCCTACTAGCGTTCATACCGACTGGGTGGGCGCTTCTGCTGATATCGCAAGCGTGCCGGATATCGGTGAAGGGAATCGGGATGGGGGAATCGGTGAAGGCACTGGCAAGAGGGTACGAATACATGATGGGAGTGTTGCTGTTTGCACTGACAGTGATATTGGCATGGTTCCCGTTCGTATCGGAATTCCAGACGAGGCTGCTCTTCAACCAATCCTTCGGCAGAGGCCTTCAAATTCAACGTATTCTGGCTGGTAGCAAGAAGCATGCCTAAACAAAAAAAAGAAAAGGAAAATAAAACCCAAGTGAAGGTGCATTGAAGACGAAGATGCCACTAGGATGAACCAACAACTCTCAAATTTATTTAGTGGTTTCGAATCTTGTAGAGCAAGAAAGCAAGTGGATAGTGTTTATTTTTCGATTCAATCACCCTTGATGTAGTATTCATGCTGCATCTATGCTTCGTTAATAAATTTCAGTTTCTTCTTTTTTTTCAAAGTTTCTTCTCTTAACCATTAGGGTAAACTGATGATATTTTATATTGGCTTAATACCAAAATAAGTGTCTAAACTACATTGTTTTCTCCAAATAAGTGTCTAAACTACATTGTTTTCTCTAAATAAGTGCCTAAACTATTTTTTGACTCATTTCAGTGTCTAAAGTTACTAACGTTACTCATTTAGGTGCTCGTACCATCAACGGTGTTAATTTTTCTGTTAAGTGACACGTGTCACAATTGGTAGTTTTAAAAAATTTATTTAAAATTAAAAAAAAAATTAAAATTACATATTTTTTTTAAAAAGAAAAACATTTTGAAATATCCCAAAAACTTTAAAACCTTCATTTCAACCCCTAAACCTACGTTGGCCGCCCTTTGCCGTCAACGAAACACCACCAGATCTCACCTTCTCCTGGAGACTAAAACCTCCCATGAAATCGTGACTGATCGACGTTTTTATCCCGCAAACCCTAGGATGAAAATTGTCATCACACGCAATTCCGACGACCAATCGACGACAACTACAGTGGCGTATGACTAGAGGATGGCATAAACTACATCAACAACAGTGGTCGTGGTCGGAAAGGGTGGCAGTGGTAGATTAAGGTTATGATTTGGGATTTTGTGGTTGTTTTATAATATAAGAAAAGTTAGTGTTTTTTATAAATATAATAATATTTTTAACATCTTTCTTAAAAAATAAGTTTCAAAATCACCATATTGTGACACGTGTCACTTAACGGGAAAATTAACGTCGTTGACAGCCTGGGCACCTAAATATGTAACGTTTGTAACGTTAGACACCTAGATGACTCAAAAAATTAGAAAAAACGGTATAGTTTGGGCACTTATTTTAATATTAATCCCTTTATATTTCATAGTTGAAAATGAAAGTTAAGATAGTAAATTTCATAGTTATTTAAAGATAATTACCGTAATATAGTACTAATACATGAGAAATAATAGGTAAATAGTAAATTGCATGCTTACTCACTGAACTTTATTCTCTCTTATTTCACTCACCTTATTTTTATTTTTTTTTAATTTTTTAATTTACTCACTAAACTTTAGACTTATAATATTTTTGGAAGCGTAATGGGCACTCGGTAAAATTAATAACTCAAACTATTATTAATATGAACCAAAATACGATACAAGAACTCGAACACGACATTAACTACGGTTAGTTTACAAATACAAACTCAAGCTTTGCTAAGCTACACAAACTCTCGGTTTTCTATTTCTTTCACTCGTACATTTTTGTATATTACTTGTATGCCAAATACACATATTTATAGTATGCTAAACCGTCTCATTAAATCCTCTAAAAGCTTCCACTTCAACTTTGTGTTGTTCACGTGATTAATTTTTTTCATTACTTTATCCACAAAAGTTTTCAGCAACAGTGCTTCCAAATCAATACAATTTGCAATTGTCAGACGTTCTTTGTTGCTACCGTAAGCAATTTTCCCATGTGCTTTCTCTAAATAATTCTTTCTTTACCGCCTTAATCATGTGGTTTAGTGTGATGCCACATTGATTCTTAACCAAGCTTTGCCACCTTTGACTTTTCAAAGTCATTTATCCATCGTTGGTCGTCGATAGGGTTGTACGAACGGAGGACTTTGTCGCCTCTGCTCCATTCCGAAAGGCTGGCTAAGGCTTTCACATTGTTGTGACTCCGCTTGATGACTGAAATGGATTCCGGAGTCGATGTGCTCGCTCAATATGGCAAGAATTTCCCGTCCTGCACATTGCCGAAGGGATCGGAGTTGATGGAGAAACCAAGTAGGAAGTGGAAATCAATGTCGTCTTTGATCGGAACGGGGTCGAGTTTCACGGGTGCGCCCGTGGCACCAATGTACTCCATCAACACTTTGTCATCTGAAATGAATTTAGAACATGCTGCATGGAAACCAACGACAGTATGCCAATTGTGTGTATATATATGATGAAATTAGATACAACAAAATTGGTGTGAGAAGAAGAGAATAGCAGAAACTTGAACATGTTGTAGGGTTGATTGAGAAAGGGAAGTTCACTGTTAATTAGCTGTTATATAAGTCAATTTAGGTAGAAATCTACTAGAAAACTAAAATAGGAAAAACGAGGTTGATCCTTGTGACCTGTGACAGCGTAGATGCTCAGGCCAGCGCTACTTATTTTTCTAGGAAACTTCATATTTCTAGTCGGCCTCTTATAAATTTATTATTATTTAGCCTGTTATGGGTAGAGATGAGCACGGACACAAACTCAACGTGTTTGGATTTGACCTAGTTTTATTGAGTTTTTTTTTTACAAAATTTAGATTCGATCTATAACCATCTTACCTCAATTTACTTCACATATAATATGTTATGATCATGATATAACTAATATATTCAAATATAGATGTAGTGTTTATCCATTCTTGGAGTAAATCGAGACATGTTGTATAACGTGTAATATTGTATGATTTTAAAAATTACATATTTAATGTACGAATTTATATCGTTATTGAGTCATTTTGATGTAATGTGTTTTTATTGAATAGTTTATTAAAATGTATAAGGTAATATCTATTTAAAGATAACTCTCAATTTCTTGTTATTGAACGTTTATATCTCTCACATTTATGGTATTCAAACTCTGATCCTAAAAAATTAACAATAATTCTTTTATCACTTAAACAACTTAACGCAAATAGATGATTCGTGCAAATAGAATAAACAGGTGACACTAAGAATTGGGCAACAATCCCTTAGCTTAGACAATTATGCAACTTAGTATGATTTACGACTCCCCCCATTGCCGCTTTGTGCATTAAGTCAAGAAAAGCAATTACCCAACATCAAAGTGTCACCCTTCCTCAACGTTATTTTCATGGGTAAACTACAGATTTAGAATTTAAACTATAAATTTTGATCCGTTTTAATAGCAGAGTAATAAAATGAAACAAAACCTAAACTTTAAGTATGATTTTAAAAACATAAAAGTTTAAGTACTAAAATAAATTAAAAATAATAATTTAAATATTAAACGCGTAATTTACCCTATTATCATACATCATAGGGTCACTACCTCCATCAATGCATTCATTTGCTTTGCCCAACTACCTCCATCAATGCATTCATTTGCTTTGCCCAACTCCCAATTTGTTCAACCATGTGACGTTGACTTACAACACACTTCAATATTTGTATAACCTAAGCTTTTGATTAATCTATATCATGAGCCTTTCTGCCTAAAAAATCTGCTTCTTTTCCTATAAAGAATTCTTATTACTTTAACATAACAATCACCATGATTCTTGATAATATTAATGGGGGAAAAATATCAAGATCATGTTGGGATCCACTGATCACCTTGAATGAAATTGTCCACGGAGTAGGTATATACATGTTGTGCTGGTATCTGGCTGCTCCATGGAACTCTGGCCGACACGTTCGAACCCGGTCCGGAGTTCCGATATTCTCCGTAGAAGAGTGTGTTCAGCGCAAAGTCACCGTTCCATGGCATCCATCCGTCCGGCGAAATAAGAGGTCCCATGACACAATTTATGTAAGCCGTCCTCGAATATTCCTTCCATGGCCTTCCCAGGAAGTTCCTGTGCACTTTAGGGTTGGCGAAGTAGTTTCATGTATTCATTGGTGCCGTTGAGCAAGCAGTTTTGGAAAACGAGACCGGTCGATTCAGCAGGATCGGTTCTTCCGTGAGCCGTGACCGCATTGGTCTCTCCTTTTTCGGGATTTAACTGCCGGGGAACGACCAGAATGTCACATTCTTGGAAAACCGCAGCGGAGTTTCCGAAGATGAAGTCGACGTTCCCTGAATTCGACACTTCTTGTAGAACTGACGGAGAGAGTGAGCGTAGAGAGTGTCTTGATTGCCTATGAATTCGCAGTTCTCAATGATGGAAAGATCGCTATCCGATCGGAAGGCTACCGCTTGGTGCGCATCAGGGCCTGCCGTGTTGGCGAATGTGAGGCCACTGGCCATAAATCCATCCCCAAGAATTCCTGCAAATATTTAAGAGTTGGTCTAGTATTCTACTTAAATATTTTAGGATGCAACAAACCCCAAAATTTAACTCGATCGAATCATCTATAACATATAGTATCCAGTATATCTGGATTTTGAGACTGCCAATCCTATATGAAATAATCGTATATAGAATTGTTTTACCGTTTTAAATTGGATTTAACGCTTGCTGTTGACTAGATTTGACCGACAAGATCCTAATAATATTTTATATTGATTTTCTATTTGGATACCATTCATTTAATATTCTAAATTATTTGATAATAAAATATAAATATTATTTGATTTAAATAATATTTTATAATATATAATATATATATATATTTATTATTTTATATGTTATTATATATAGTATATAAGTCGAAAGTTTCTATTTAAACTTTGACTAATATTTAAAAATTAATCTATTAATTTTAAAAATTCAAGCTGTATGAAATTTATAAAATTACAATTCAAAATTAATTAAAAGTCAAAATTTTCAAATAGAATAGAGTAAAAAAAATTAAACATTCTAGTCAAGTTAATTTCACCCTAATCCTTTATGTCGGCAAAGTTAAAATAAGAAACTCACCGACGGTGGCAGAATCATAGGTGGTCATTCCGGGCTGACCCGCATTTAGAGAACCCGTAATTACGGTTTTACCAATCCCTTCCCCCAAAAACACCACGTTTCTCTTCCGCAACGGAACCCTCACCGTTTCCTCGTACACACCTTCCTTTATCAGTATCACGAACCGCCGCGTCGCCTCCGTATTATCCGGCGCCACGTTCACCGCCTCCTGTACCGTCTTGTAACACCCGCCGCTTCCGGTTTTACACACCGTCGCGTCCGGCTTCAACCCGGCCGGGACTCCCCCGCCGGAAACCAGCG